ATGCCACTGGGCCGCACCCTGGTCTCTGGGTCAGCATGTGGTCTCTGCGCCTGGCGGGGGGAGGGGAGAGCTGCTATTAGACACCAGCCTTCGGGGGCGAGGCGGGCAGGACCACGGCCACGTGCCAGGGACAGGCAGCTTGGGGTGAGGGAGGCGGAGCTGGGAACCACCCAGCCCATGTCTTCCATCTGCCTGACCAGAGGGCCCAGCAGGGAGGCCAAATCTTGCTTTTCCTTCTCTCTCTCTCTCTCTCTCTCTCTCTCTCTCTCTCTCTCTCTCTCAATATCACTCAAGGGTATTTTTCCATTGGATTTTAGAGGGATTGGAAGAGAGAAGGAAAAACAGAGAGAAATATCGATGTGAGAGAAACACATTGATTGGTTACCTCCTGCATGTGCCCGGACCAAGGCCCAGGCCGGGGAGGGAGCCTGCAACTGAGGTATGTGCCCTTGACCAGAATCGAACCCAGGACCCTTCGGTTTGCAGGCCGACACTCTATCCACTGAGCAACACCGGCTAGGGTGCTTTTCCTCCTCTTCACCTCAGATGGGAGCAAGGCCCGGTCTTCCGGGACATCTAACTGGAGCCAGGCTGCCCCCGAGGTCAGCTGACCAGATAAGCTCCTCTGGCCCCAGCTGGAGGGGCACTGCCCGGGCAGCTGCTCTACCCTGAGGCCTTGACAGGCCCCTGGGTGAGGTGTGAGCTCCTGTCCCTGATCTCCCCTCTGCCTGGGATGACAAGGCCCCTCCCGGATCCAGGGTCAGCAGGAGGCCTGCCCAGGTGGCCACTGGCTGAACCCCAGAAAGCTGCCTCCACACCTCACTCCAGGCCTCTCGCCCGGGCAGGAGGCTCAGCTGCCCACAAGCAACTGGAAAGAGTCTAAGTGTAAGTGGCTTAGTGGGACTCTGAGATGGGGGTCCGCGGGGTAGGGGCCGGGCCAGCCCTGGAGGGAATCAGTGGCTGTGAGAGCAGGCACAGGGCACCAGAGGTTCCACTCACCTCTCTTCCAGGGACAGGGGGCACCTAAAGCTGCCCTCGGCCAGCTGTGGGCCTGCCCCACCCCTCCGCTCCAGAGCCCAGTGTGGACCGCCTGGTTTATTCTCTTTGCAAACACAGGCAGGACCGTCTAAACCAGTGATGGCGAACCTATGACATGCGTGTCAGAGGTGACACGCGAACTCATTTTTTTGGTTGATTTTTCTTTGTTAAATGGCATTTAAATATATAAAATAAATATCAAAAATATAAATCTTTGTTTTACTATGGTTGCAAATATCAAAAAATTTCTATATGTGACACGGCACCAGAGTTAAGTTAGGGTTTTTCAAAATGCTGACACGCGAGCTCAAAAGGTGGTCTAAACAGACAGCACTGTCTTCTCTGCGCTCAGCACTGCCCTGGTGGTTTGTATCCGCAGGACCCATAGCAGACAAGTGACATTTCCCCGAGTCCCTCCCCAAACCGCCTCCCTCCCGGTTACACCCTGCTGCCTGGCTGCCTCTGTCCTGGGAGAGGCCCCCATTGCGTCACCAAATGCATGCTGGGTCCTGGTGCAAACGGCCTGGGGAAGTCTGTTCCCCATCTGGACCTCTGGGGGAGAGTCGGTGAAAATGGTAGCTTCTGGAGTGCTTGGTGTCTTGCTCCCCCTCCCTGCTTCCTGGGTGCTCCTTCCTGTCCCCTGTAGCCTGGCTGATGCCTGCACAGGGCCGAGGTCTCAGCGAGGGCCACTGCCTCCAGAACCCTTCCTGACCACTGGGCTGGAATAAGTTCTGTTTCTGTGCCGCCTGGGACGCACCCATTCATTCCCGCAAGCATTCACCACACACAATGCTGTGGCCCACAACTGCGCACCAGCCTGTGCGAGGCAGGGCCCGGGTCCCCTAGAGCTCACACTGGGGGCGGGAGAAGGCAGAAGTCCTCTGGGTCTGGGGACACGCTGCAGCTCCTGTGACCCAGAGGGCGGAGCCCCCCAAGGTTGGCCTGGAACCAGCTAGATGGCCGCAGCGCTGGCGCCCCCCTCTTCCCTCCTCCCCCATTTCTTTGCTCTGTCTCCGCCGGGTGCCTGGTTGGCTGCACCCAGCTGAGACTTGGGGGACGTGGGATCCCTGCGCCTAAGCCCCTCCAGCGGGACGATCGCCCCCCACGAGGCTGGCTGCTCAGACAAAGGCTGTGCCCAGGGTCGAAGGCTGCACCGTGGCTGCTGCCAAGGCGGGGATTCTCTGCGCACTGCCCCTCCCCCAGGCTTTAGTCCGCAAACAAAGCCACTTAAAGAAATCAAATCAAACAAAGGCAGACATTTTCTTCCCCAAACATCCCCCCTTCTGGGATGGGCGTGGGGGGCAAAGAGCGTCCCTGGGATTGAGAGCGGGGCTGCTGATGGAGGCAAACAAGGGCTGAGCCGGCGGGCACGCGCGGCTGTGCGCGTCACTGCCGTCCCCAGGCTGGGAGGCTGCCCTCCCTCCGCGGGCGCTGCCGCAGTCCCTCCCGGTGGCGCGGCCGCAGCTGCTGGCGGGGCGCTGCATTACACTGCACTGCAGCTGTGCCGGGCGGGTACAGGCGTACATGTGTGTGTGCATGTGCATGTATGTGCGCGTGTCCATGCACGTGTGTGTGTGCGTGCGCGCGTACCCCCGCGCGCTCCCGAGCTCCCGGCTGCGAGTCCCAGTTTGCTCGGCGCTGCAGTCCCTCGCCCCCGCCCCTTCCCATCAGCACCTCCCAGCTCTCGGGAAGACTTTGCCTAGCAACCGCGGGGGCGGGGCGGGAGGGGCTGAGGAAAGGCTGCAGGAGGGGAGAGGCGGGGAGAGGATGGCTTCTGATAGGCTCCTTGCAGCACTCCCCCCCTCCCAGTGGTCCCTAGGCCCCTGCGGTTCTGTTCTAACCGCCCCCCCACCCCATTATTTATCAGGCTGGGGAAGGGCTGGGAAAATGATCCTTGGTGGATAAGTCACTTGTGTTCACTCCTTCAGAGAACAAAAGGAGAGGGGGATGTCACTGCTCTCCCACGCAGGGCGGGTATCAGGTGCCTCTGTCCTGGCCACCCTTCCCCTCCCGTTACTCGAAAGGACACCTGGCCAAGACCCAGGGACAGGGACGCCGGGTCCTTAGGGCCGATCTGCTCTCTCCCTGCGCGTCCCCTCCCCAATCCTGCATCTGGCCTGTGGGTTCTGCCAGGGCTGGGGGATGCTGATTGCAACTGGGGGCCAGAGCTCCGGGGCCCAGGGAGGGGGCAGCTGGAGAGCCGGCGCCCCGTTGGCAGCAGGCCCATCGCCCAGGGGGTGGGCTGGTATGACCGAGGATCTGGGGTGTGTTGTCGTGAAGCAGTTAGGGTGGCTTCCTTCCCGGAGGCCTTCATCACAGCACCCCTCTCCCCCTGCGGGCAACCACCCGGTGCAGCTGGCTCCCGGGCTCCGCGGGCCGCTGCTGTTCCCTGCGCTCCTGGGCACCACCCGGCTGAGATTTGGCTCTAAAGGACTCCATCTCCAAGGCAGGTCCTGCCGACACTGGTCCCAGCATCCTCCAGGCCACCTGGCGAGGGACCTGCTCACTCAGGGAGAGCCAGGGCTCGGTGGAGTTCCCTGCTCGCTTCCTACTTGTCCTGCAAAACTGAAACCGGATTTCCTGAACCAAAGCCCCTGGTCAGCCTGCCCTTCTCTGTTACACCCTGCAGGCCATCCTCGCAGCTCGGGCTGGCTCAGCCTTAGCCAGGGTCGCTGCCAAGGCCGGCCTGGTGCTCCCAGGCAGCCACTGCCAGGGTGCAGATGCCCGCTGACCCAAAGCCACCTCCCGGAACAGTTCAGAAGGTTCAGTGGCCAGGGCGGCTGCCAGGCACCCTGTCACTGCTGGGCCGGGACTGGGACGGGGCTGAGGTTTGCACCCTGGGGGGCTCAGGAAAGCTGGCCAGGCATGTGCCGAGCCCAGACACCCGCCAGCAGCCAGCAGTGAGGGGAGTCTGGGGAGAGAAGGCGAAGGGCCTGTGGAGAGGGGGGTGCTCAGAAACTGACCCTGCAGCGGGCCCGGTCAGCTTAGCCAGGACCCGGCGTCTCGGGCTGGTGAGGGCTCCAGCTCCGTACCCCGCAGACTGGCACTCGGCGGGCTGTCCTGGAACTGAGGTCGCGTGCAGCCATCTTCCCCCCCACCCCTCTCCGTCCGGGTGCAGAGACTATCGCCCAGCACCCAGGCCAACCCTGGGCTTCTCCTCTGCACGTCCATGCCCGGAAGGGGAGGCGCCCTCTGAGCTCGCGGCCCCGCCCATCTTTGGCAGCTTCTCTGTGCGGAGGCCCTGGTGCCCCAGGGGGAGCAGCTAACAGTCACCAGCCCCAGGGACATGGCCAGCAGCTCTCGGGGCCTGTCCTTGGCCAGCAAGTCCTGCCGCCCCCCGTGGAGCCTTTTGGGGCTCCCTGGCCCACCCCCTCAGCCACGGTCATATCCTGGGGTATTGCAGATGCTCTCCAGGGCGAGGGAAAGTAAAACCAGCCTGGACACGGGGGACGGGCGTTCCAGGGCGTCCCTGAGAAGGTTTGGCTGCTTACCGCTAAGAGGCAGGAGCATTTCACACACAGCCTCGCTCCAGGTCCAGGCTCGGAACCTGAGAGCGGCCCAGCCCCACGCCTCGCCCAGCCTCCCACACGCTTCCGTCTCTGAGAGCTGGGGGCTCCATCATGGCCTCCCGGCGCTTCAAGGGACAGCCCTGGGGGCAGCAGAGGGTGCTAGGACCCTGCTGCTCGGGGTCTGTCAGAGAAGGGCCTCGCAGCAACCAGGGGGCTGGTCGGGCCACTGGCCACTCGGATCCGCTGCCAGAGTGACAGCTGCAGGCCAAGCTCACATGCTCCTTCTGTCCCCGGGAGACACCCACTGAGGGCAGAGACCCAGTCCGGCCTCCCGGGGTGGACACCCACTCTGGTCAGGACCGTGGACACCCGGACACTTCCTCCTTTCCCACACCTGGTCCCCCCGTGTCCCTCTCCCGCAGCGCCTGGCACGGTGACCCGCGCTGCTCTTACCGTCTAGTGACAGCCAGTCATGCTGCGAGGAGGGGAGTGTGGGCAGGGCCCGCGCTTTGTACTCAAACACCACAGAGTTGGAGATGATCTGGTTGTTGAAGGCAACTTGTAGGGTCACGAGACCAGTGTCATGGGCTGAAAGAAAACAGAGAGCCGTCAGGATGGGGGTGGGCACCCTGTATCCTCCTCTCTAGGACCCTTTCCCAGGGAATCCCAGCCGGCCCTGCTCCTCCCTGAGGCCCCAAGGCTGTGCTGCTGCTTCCGGGAGCCTTCCCTGGACCCCGGCTCAGCCAGGTGCCTGGATCAGTCCACTCCCGTGTGTCATTGTCTCTGCTCCGTGTGTGTGAGTGAGTGAATGAATGAATGAGTGAATGAATGAGTGAGTGAGTGAATGAGTGAGTGAATTAGTGAGTGAGTGAGTGAATGAGTGAGTGAGTGAGTGAGTGAATGAGTGAGTGAATGAGTGAGTGAATTAGTGAGTGAGTGAGTGAGTGAGTGAGTGAATGAGTGAGTGAGTGAGTGAGTGAGTGAATGAGTGAGTGAGTGAATGAGTGAGTGAGTGAATGAGTGAGTGAGTGAGTGAGTGAATGAGTGAATGAGTGAGTGAGTGAGTGAGTGAATGAGTGAGTGAATGAGTGAATGAGTGAGTGAGTGAATTAGTGAGTGAGTGAGTGCCCCTGTGGCTGACCTCTCCCCTGTCCCATTCCCCGGGCAGGGCTCGGTGTCCTTTGTGCTTATTCCTCTGTTTCACCTTCCCCTGCCAGCTCGTCCTGACTCACTTACACGGCCTCGCGTGTATTTTTAGAAGTTCTTCCGCCTCCCTGATGAGCAAGAGCTTCGGCGGTGCTCTGGGCCCCGGGGTGCTGGCATGAAGCGTGTGCCCCCTCCAGCGCCTGGCCAGCAAGCTCTGGGAGGGCCCCCTGGGCCGCGCTGGCCCCGCGGAGGGGGGCGAAGACGACTGAGCGAATGAATGGGCTGTTCTTTCTCAGCGAGAGGCGAGCCTGGCCCCGGCGGAGACCCGCTTTGTTCTGGGGGTGAGGCTGCGGCTGTGGGTCCCTGTTGAGATCTCGGGGAGCTGTGGCCTGGAGGCCGTGGTGGCTGTGCAGGTGGGGGGCCCCGCCCGCAGGCCTCGCCCCTGAAGGCATCGGGCTCTGTGCTCTCTGCCCTGCTTTTCTGGAACCGCCGATGCCAGTGCCCGGGGCCTCCCGGGACAGATTCCCAGGAGGACGCACACGGGGATCGTGTTACTGTTTGGCCTGCTGGTCTCAGGAGCTCAGACTGGGGGCGGCCGTCCAAGCCAGCTGCTCCCCAGGGCAGAGCAAAGCTCCACTTCCCTCCGCGGGTGGCTCCCCGGCCTCACTTCCCGTGGGGACACTGGCTCCCTGACCTGCGGCCTCTGAGCAGCCAGGGGCTGCGTGATGCCATCGTCCCTGGAGCAGGCCTTCAGGAAGTCGCTGTCAGGGATGACCAGTGGGGTCTCCCCAGACTTTGCACCTTGATGTGGTCCCTCAGCTCCAGGCCACAGGCTGGGCCAGCTGGCTCCGTGCTGTGGTCACCTGCCTGCCCTGGGGGCGAGCCTGACTTGCCCACAGGAAGGAAGGATGGTCAGTGCACACCCATCTGAGCCCGTTCAGCTCTGTTCCTGGGGGGAGCTTCCTGCCCCTCGGCTGGCCCCTGGGGGGCTCAAGTCTCCTCTGTCCTAGACACCCCGGCCGGAGGGTCCTCCTCAGCTGCTTTCCTCTGTCTCCTGGCCCCGCATGGGAAGGTGGCGGATTCAAAGGCGGCCTCCCTTCTCCAGGGAGATGAATGGCGAGGACCCGGCATGGGCTCCTGGGTCCCATCCAGCCGCTCACTCTCGCAGGCCCATCCCACGGGATGCTTCCTGGACTCCCTCTCCCTCCCTTGAGCCAGCCCATCCGTGGGTCCTGGGACCAGGCCCTTCTGTCGTCCCACGGCCACCACACTGTCCACGCTGCATCACTTCCCACTCAGACTCCTGCACTGGCCTCTGCTGGGGCCCTCAGCACACCTGAGCCCTGTGCCTGCTGGGATGGTGTCGGGGCCACAGCCGATGCTCCATTAAACCAGTGGGAGCCCTCCTCCCTGAGTCAGGAAAGGTCACCCTCTGCCGCCTCCTGTGGTTTCCCTGCTTCTGCTCTTCCTCCCTGTGATCCACTCTCCCACACACTCAGAATCATCGTTTTAAGACAGAATTTACATCACGTCACTCCCCACCTAAAACTAATGGCTTCCTGCTGCAAGTAAGACCAAACCAGATTCCTCCCCATGACTTAGAAGAAGGATGGACACACTTTCTTCTCCAACCTTCTGTGTTCAGCTCCCCCCACTTTATCTCTCTCCAACTTGCCAAGCCTCTTCCTGCCTCAGGGCCTTTGCACGTCCTTTGCCCTCTGCCTGAGTGCTTCCCCCATCCCTCCCATGACTGGCTCCATTTCATCACTCAGGTGCCGGCCCTTGTCGGTCTTTCTGAAGGAACTGCCCTCTTCCCGAGGTGCTTCACCCGGTCACCCCATTTTTAGGGCCCTGATATGATTTCCTCCAGCCTCTTGGTCATTTCTGTGTTCCCTTGTTCTCTGTCTCCTGCAGGAGGATGCAAGTTCTGTGAGAGCTGGGACTGGGTCTGTCTCCACCTCCTCTGAAGCCCAAGGCCAAGGTCCGTGCCTGGCATGTGGCGGCCACTCAGTAACTGCTGAGCGCATCGCTTCAAATCGCAGGGCACTTGCTCACCTCCTTAGGAATTTCATCTTTTTTTAAAAAAATGTTTTTTTATGATTATTTTAGAGCGCGAGGAAGGGAGAGGGCGAGAGAGATAGAAACATGGATGAGAGAGAATCATCGATCGGCTGCCTCCTGCACGCCCCCTTCTGAAGATGGAGCCCATAACCCGGTCACGTGCCCTGACCAGGAATCGAACTGTGACCTGCAGGTTCATAGGTCGACGCGCAACCACTGAGCCATGCACTGGGCTTGAATTTCAGCTCCAGCTTGGACATAGTCCCCAGGGCATCTTGCGCCTTTTGGTGACTTGCAGGCTCTGAGAGCCAAGTCTTCTTGTTGGTGGCTCCTCTCTCCTCCCGAGCCCGGCCGCCCTTCCCAGTTCCAGTCCCCTCACCGCTGCTGTGCCTGCACTGGGGCCTGGCTTGCCTGTCTCCCTCCCGGCCTTGGGCCTGGAATCGTGTGGGAGACAGAGCTCAGCGGCGGGGTCCAGCGGCCAGAAGAACCGTGTCCTCCGTCAGGGCGGACTCCCCTCCCCCATTTGGCTCGGGCGGGTGTGCCAGGCTGTGGGCGGTGCCCCCCTCCTGGTGCCCTCTCCCCATGGCACCCTCAGCCCCTCGGGCGCCGGCATGTGCACAGAGGTCTCGGAGCCCTGCTTTTCAGTCAGGCTGCTTGGGTTCTGGCTTCACGTGTTCCTTCTTCAAGCTCAGCTCCCGCTTCCCAGGGCTGACCCCTGAAGCAGCCAGCACCGTCCCCCACGGTCAGGGTCAGGGTCAGGGTTCATGTCTGGCTCTACGCTTTGCTCCGTTTCAGGCACCTACCCGGTACCTGGCAAAGTATTTGATGAATGAAGAAATGAATGAATGACTGAATGAGTGCAGTCAGAGCTGTCTGACAGACTGGCATGCTTCAGTGTGGGCCTCAAAGCGAGGTGTCCCAGGGGCCCCTGTCTGTGCTTGGCTGTTGAGCACGACGCGGGGTTCCAGCCGCAGGGCCCGCTCTGTCGGCCTCTGAGGCTGTGGCTCTCGTCGCTCGGTGTCCGTTGGTCCGAGCTGCAGGCTGTCAGAAGTCCAGGTGGCGGGCCAGGAGGACTGCCTGTTGGGTCCTGTCCTCTCTCCCGCCGCCCCCCGTGAGCAAGTGCAGAGGCCCCGTCGTGGACGCGCGGGCACTGAGCGTGAGCCAGGTACTTCGGGGCTGCCCGCACCGGCACTCTCACCGCCTGGCAGGTTTGAAAGATGCGGAAACTGAGGCTGAGAGAGGTCAACCACCGGCTGGTCACACGGACGGACCGGCTGGTCCGGGCTGCGCTGCAGTGTGACTGACCCAGCCCAGCCCCAGGATCTGCCCGTCCGGGCCTAGGGCACCGTCCAGAGGGCACGCAGAGGCTAGTTGTTGTTGTTTTTGAGGGTCAGATAACTGAGGACGGGCAGGCCCAGGTCCCCGCCAGGCAGGGCCAGGTAGAGGAAGTGGGCTATTACAGG